ACACGGCACCGCATGGCACACCATGCTGTGGTAGGCGTCCCACATATAAAGTAGAGGAAGATGGGCACGGATGTTAGCTCAGGGCCAGACTTCCTCAGCAAAAAAGAGGAGGGTTGGTGGCAGATGTTAGCTCAGGGCTAATCTTCCTCAAAAAAAACCCCACAAGGGGTCTGCCTGGTGGCGCAGCGGTTAAGTACGCACTTTCTGCTTCGGCGGCCCGGGGTTCACTGGTTTGGATCCTGGGTGCGGACATGGCACTGCTTGGTAAACCTTGCTGTGGCAGGCGTCCCACGTATAAAGTGGAGGAAGGGGCCTGCCCGGTGGCTCCGCGGTTTAGCGCCCACGGTCCGCTTCGGTGGCCCGGGTTTCGCCAGTTCGGATCCTGGATTTGGACACGGCACCGTGTGGCACACCATGCTGTGGTAGGCGTCCCACGTAGAAAGTAGAGGAAGATGGGCACGGATGTGAGCTCAGGGCCAGGCTTCCTCAGCAAAAAGAGGAGGATTGGTGGCAGATGTTGGCTCAGGACTAATCTTCCTCAAAAAAAAGAAAACAAACCCCACAAAAAACCTGACATAACAAAGGGAACGGCCACGTGACTTAGTGGTTAATTTCTGTGCATTCTGCTTCAGCAGCCTGGGGGTTGCAGGTTTGGAACCCGGGCGCGGACTTACCTTACACCACTTGTCAGCCATGCTGTGGCAGGCATCGCACATACATAGCAGAGGAAGATTGGCACAGATGATAGCTCAGGGCCAAAAAAAAAAAAAAAAAAAAGAGGATGATTGGCAATGGATATTAGCTCAGGGCAAATCTTCCTCATCAAAAAAAAACAAAAACAAAAAAAACCCCTGACATAAGAAGGAGACATATTAATTCAAATTTTTCCTACCTACTTTTTATGATTTCATTTGCTAAAATGGACACTAAATTTGAAACTTATATAAGGACTTTGAAATAAAAAATGTTTGCACTTCAAAACTCTGCCATGTCTACTTTCAAGGCCCTATTCTTAAAGTCTAGTCCTTATTTGAAAAAGAAGCAATTTGCAAATACAATATTGAAAATCCAAGATGTCATAATCAGAGTTTTACCCTTTAATGTTAAGACAATCTGGGTTCAAAACAGCCCTTATGGAACAAATGGGGGGAAATCTCCTCAAAGCTTTATTTTCAAACTAATAGTTGGAATCAAGTGTTGATTTTTTTTTTTTTAAAGATTGGCACCTGAGCTAATAACTCTTGCCAATCTTCTTCTTCTATTTTTAATTCTTCTCCCCAAAGCCCCCCAGTACAGACTTGTAGATTCTAGTTGTGGGTCTCTCTGGTTGTGCGAGAGTGTTGACTTTTGTCGCACATATAATCTTTCAGTGCTTTGCACAATGTTTTAAAGTTTGAAATTAAAGACTTGTGCTCTTCTGGACAAGTTTTTATGTTCGTGGGTTTTGTCCCGTAATTGGTCTTTTTTCCATGCCCAAAGGTATAGCTTATTTAGCCGATAAAGTTTCTGGTCAAAGAATGTATTTTATATATGTAATAATACGACAAGAGTTCCCTTATTTGGGACGTGTCTGTAATATAATGTCAAGTGGGTGGGGGGGGGTGAAGATTTAAAATTGTACATATATTAACTTTTTCTTTTTGAGGAAGACTGGCCCTGAGCTAACATCCGTGCCCATCTTCCTCCACTTTATATGTGGGACGCCTGCCACAGCATGGAGTGTCAAGCGGTGCCATGTCCGCACCCGCGATCTGAACCAGCAAAGCCCGGGCCGCAGAAGTGGAACGTGCGCGCATAACTGCTGTGCCGCCGGGCCGGCCCCACTATTAACATTACTTTTACGTGAAAACTCAAAGTAAAAAAATGTAACAAAGATTGGTGGCCACAGTGGTGGGAGAGCAAATTTCTTCGCTTGCTTGTTTTTTCCTTTTTCCTACATTTCAAATGTTTTGCGATATCGTTTGCTTATTAAAACAAAAAAAGCTAAAAATGAAAAGATGTTTTAAGCACAAAATAATACAAAGTCTACTATTTCATCTTCCAAAAAATGTATGTTATTGGGCTTCTTAATGCTTATGAGTAACTCACGCTCATTGTGCAAACATGGAAAACTCAGAAAAAATAGAAGAGAGGAAATTTAAAAACGACTGCAATTCTGAAATCTAGATATAGTCCCCGTTAGGATTTTGGTGTACTTACTTTCATTCTTTTTAAAAGAATAATTGTTTAGTGTAATAGGATTTGGAGTATATGTAGAGTTTTCTTCTTTTTCCTTAAACGTTTTCCGTGATGTTACTCTTGTCTCGAATATTATTTTTTGTGATTGCTTAAGAGTCTTCAGCGTGAATATCCTATGATATATGTGTCATCATTCTACCCTCTCTCGTTGTAAGCTGCTTTCTCCTTCGGGCTTTTACGGATGATCCTGCATTGACTATCATCGTACAAAAAACTGTCACTTTTCTCTGATTATTTCCTTGAGATGAAGTCCCAGAAGTGAAACGACTAGGTCAAAGTGTAAAAACATTTAAAATGCCCTTTCTGTCTCTCCAAACTGCCTGACCAAAAGGTAGCTTTAATTTATGCATCTGTGGGCCATCGTAGGATCTTTTCATTCTAAAAGAGAAGTTTTTGGTTTTTTTTTTTTTACTATTTTAAGATAAAAAATGCATGTCGTTCTTTCAATTAGCATTCTTTTGATTACTAGGAAGGCTGCTGCTCTTTTCTGTGAATTATGTATTCAAGACCTTGGCCTATTATTTTTTCTGTTAGGGTGCATTTATTTCTTATCCATTTTAATAAGTTCCTAATAAACCAGAAATATTGTTCCTTTAGTTATAATATTTATGACAAATCTATCCTGAGATCGTTCTTTGGCTTTTCATTTTGTTTATTACCATTGTTGGCATGCACGAGTTTGCGTTTTCACCTAGTGAAATATATTGGTTTTCCCTTTGCGATTTCTTCCAGGGCTTTTCCTGTGTTAAAAATGCATCTCCAGGGCCGGCCGGGTGGTGCAGCGGTTAAGTGCGCACGTTCCACTTCGGCGGCCCAGAGTTCACCAGTTCCGATCCCGGGTGCGGACATGGCACCACTTGGCAAGCCATGCTGTGGCAGGCGTCCCACGTATAAAGTAGAGGAAGATGGGCACGGATGTTAGCTCAGGGCCAGTCTTCCTCAAAAAAAAAAAAAAATGCATCTCCATACTCACCTGAATGTTCCACCTACATTATTAAACGCCCTTTTATTATGTCTTTAATTTGTCTGGAACTATTTTAACGAATGGTGTGAAATATAAATGGAATTTGACTTTTCCCAAACAGCCAATTCTTTCTTTATACTGATTGACTGGTATTGCTTTTCCCCATTAATTTGGGGTTCTTCTTTTTATCATGTGAGAAGGTTTTACATTTAGCAGAGTCCCCTTCTGGGCCATTCTACTGTCATGCATCCGTCTATTCTTGAACCAACATTTCACTATATTTTTATTGAAACTTCATCTTTTCAGATCAGTATGGCAAGTTCTCCGTATCATCCTCTTTTTCAAAAACATCTTAGTTATTCTTATCAATTTAGTCATCTAGATGACATTTAGGATTTTGAGACATAACCCCAGATCGCGTGGAATTTTATTGGTATCACATTGGTCCCCACCCAGGGCCACGGCAGAGCTGTAGTTTACTCTAAGTAGATCCTCCTTCAATCTTATTATTTCTAAGAAGTTTATTGTGACTGTCGTGCTGTGGATTTCCCTAGTCATCCCTGCTCTCGGGCCACTACTATAACTATTGTTAGAATAACAGAAAGTAAGTGATTTTTTTTTTTTTTTTTGCTCTTTATCTTGTATGTAGCTACTTGCTTAGCTTTACCACCAATTCTGAGAGTGTCTTAAATACTTATTTTGGGGTTTCTGGACGGGCCAGAAACCTACAAACATGGATGCCTTGCTCTCTTCTTTTTGACAGTTACACTTCTGGCTCCTGTTTCATGCTTTATTGCGTTGGTTAGGCGTTGCAGAGAATGCTCGATGAGCATGTGATAAAGGCATTCTTGTCTGACTCCTGATTTTAACGGGAACGCTTCTGGTACTTCCCATCTATGTCCCACTGTCGCTGATGGTTGAAGGACCTTTTGAAAAACCATATTCAGAAAGTGTCTCTCATGGAAATGACAAAAGGCAGGACCCAAACCGGATGCTGTTTTTAAAAAAGGGGGTGATGCCTCCAGCTGGGGTGGGAGCGCCAGTTGTTCCTCATTACACACCCCACCCTTCCGCAGTCGTGGATTCTTGACTCTGCACGAATTATGAATTACGCTGCTTTTGCTTTTAAAAGCAACAGCAAGAATAAAAACACAAAAACTTTTATTTCCAGTTTTCAAATAACTCTAAAGTGTCCAGAACGGATGCCAACGTTTTCTGCCGCCTTTCGGAGCAGGTGGGAAGGCGACCAGGCTGTCCCCGTCACCTGCTCCTCTTTGGGATTCCCAGGGGTCGGCTCAGCCTCCCGGTCCTGGAACAGGGGCCCGCGGTCCCGGGACCGCCGCTAACGTGGATTTGGGGGCATCTGGGGCTGGGTTCTGAAGCCCAAGGTCGTCCTTGGAGGGTGGCCCCTGCAGTGGATCGGGGTCAGCGAGCGCGGGGACGGCCAGCCTGCCTGTCCTGTCTCCACCGGGCAATTGCCCTTTCTGGAGGTTTCTCCCCCCAAAACCCCACGGGCAGAGCCTCCTGATGCGTCGATTCTCTGCTAACTTTTCCAGTCTCTTCCCCGGTTCCTTCCCAGCCGCTTTTGGCAATCCGGTTTCCCCTGCTTGAATTTTAAGAAATGTAAATATGGGTCGCCCCCCTCCTCCCCGCGACCTCCAGGAGGAGGACGTCACCGCGGGGGCCGCTCGGCCCATTGCCGAGCCGCGAGGGGGTTGGGGGACCAGCCCAGCTCCGCGCATGCGCCCTGGCCCCGCCCGTCGGCGCCGGCTGGACCCTCTCGCCTGCCGTCGTTTCCCGGCCTGCCCCGCGCGGCCGGCCCCGGAAGTGGGCCTCGCCTCCTCGGGAGCCGTGCGTCTGTGCCTGAGCCCAGCAGGTTGGCCACGGCGGCGCAGGGTGGCGGAGCCCTAGGGGTCGGGGCTGGCCGTGCTGCCGCCATGGCCGGGAGTCAGGACATGTTCGACGCCATCGTGATGGCGGATGAGAGGTGAGTGGCGGGGCTGGGCCGGGACCCGGACCTCCGCCGGGTCGGGTCCGCGCTCGGCGGCTGGGCCGGGGCGGCGTCCCGTGGGCGTGGGCGTTGGGGGAGCGCCCTGTGGCGGCGGGCGCGTGTGGCGCCGAGATGCTCCTGCGTCTCCTTCACTCCTCGGTCCCTCCGGACCCGCCTCCCCCGTCCGGGGCTGCTCCGAGCATCTGCTCGGCTCGATGACTGCCTTTCTCCAGGTCCGCCCCGTCCTCGGATGGGACAGACCCTTGCCATCTGGGCGCTGCCCCTTTTCCTTGTTCCTGAGCAGTGGGACATACGGCAGCATTCAGGGACACGCTGATAAATGTGTCAGACGTCCTCCCTCCCTCCGGAGCCCCTGGGGAGTCCCTGGGGCTGTAACGGGGACGGGGGAGGAGCAGGGAGTTGCTTTGTGGCTGTCCTCCAGCGCCCGGCCCACTTGAGACCTCAGTAGATGTCAGTTAAGAAAGAGCGAGCGCTTAACCATCAGTCGCTGACATGTGTCTGGAGTTTCCTGTGAATCTGACATTGTGCTGAGCGTTGTAACCCCATCATCTAGTTTAGCCCCTCATGTCAAGTGGATCCTGTTCTTCACCCGGGCTCACAGTGGAGGAGGAAGGAAGGTCGCTCTCCGGGGTCACAGGGCCAATAAGCGGGAGCTGTACACTCTGCCTCCTTGGGGGCTCCGCACACTCCTTTCGTCTTAGGTGACTGCGGGTTAAGGTGATGCCGCGTCCGCTGTTGAGCCCTCGAAGTCAGAGCCTCGGTTGTACCGCAGGAACCACAGTCATTGTGCATTTGCGGTCATCTGCTGGCGTTCCCCTCTGCTGGTCTCCTGAGATGTGATGGCAGCCTTGTGTATATCGCACTTTTTTGAAGCAGTTGACCAAGTCGTGTGGCTTTACAGACTCCCAGAACTCTGACTCGCTAACAGACTAGACTCACCTAGGAGATTTGGAAAACTAGATTCCTCGGCCTTACTCCACGGTTACTGCCGGGGGCCGAGGCTCTTGAATTTGTACCTTTGAAATTTCCCGTTGGGTTTCCGGTATTCTGCCAGGTGTAGGAGTTGCTATTGTAGCCCACACTCCTCACTGTGAAAGAGGCAAATGGGACTTCAACAGCTACAGCGACTGGCCAGAGGAGAGACGTAGGAAGGGGTAGGAACCTAGGTTTTCTGATTCAGGTGGTGTGCTTCCTCCACTGTGCTGTGCCTTGTCTTGCTCGGTCTGGGTAATATGAGAGAGAAAAGATTTTCCAGGAAACGTACTTGTTCTCTTGTGTATTTGATCCTGCTTCTTCTCTGGCACAGGTTCCATGGGGAAGGGTATCAGGAAGGCTATGAAGAAGGCAGTACTTTGGGTATAATTGAAGGAAGACAGCACGGCACGTTACACGGAGCTAAAATTGGATCTGAGGTAAGCGGAAACCCCCATTTAGAAATGAATCCTTTTCATTTATAATTTATAGTTTACTTTGATGATCAGTGTGATGGAACCAGAACTCCAGGCCTCTTAAAATGGCAGTAGACTAGAGAGGATGCTGGTGGGGAGACATTGTTAGCACGGGATGGCCAGAGCACATTGCTGTAGAGACAGTGAAGTTCTTCTGGCCGGAGAATGAGAAGACAGGTCCTCAGTCACCTTGGTTTACATTGGCGCGTCATGGTGCTGCCTCGTGTCCTAGGCCAGCTGAATCCTCCTGCAAAGAATGGGGGCCCCGTGTCATGGGAAGACCTTCCATTTCCATTTCCATTGAAATCCTACAAAATTTAGAATTTTCCTTCTCTTCTGCCCTTCGTCCTAGATGGGCTCTTGCCTAGGGATAATGGGCCCTAAGTGGCCGAGTCTGAGGCAGTCATGACTGTATGAGATGCCTGTGGTTGCAAAGTGAATCACCACAAAACAGATGGGCCGAAGACAGCAAACATGCGGCTGCGGAGGATCGAGAGTCCAGGAGCAGCTGAGCTGGGTGCTTCTGGCCGGGGCCTCACGATGTGGGGTCGGGCCGTCAGCCAGGGCTGCAGTCATTTGAAGGCTCAACTGGGGCTGGAGGACCTGCTTCTAAGGGGGCTCCCGCACACGACTGTTGTTCTTGCCGTGTGGGCCTGTCCGCACGACTGCTTGAGTGTCGTTGTGACACCGGAGCCTGTGAGCCAAGACAGCAAGGCTGCAGTGACGTTCGTTGTCTGTTATGCCTGCCTCAGAAGTGTGCGCTGCCTCATCCTCTGTGTTCTTCTGGTTACACAGGCCATCCCGACACAGTTGGAGGGGACCCACAAGGGCATGGCTATTGGGTGGGGGCAGTGGGACCATCTTGGAGGCTGGCTATGCCATTGATGACTTGACCTCCAAACTTTTTTTTAGTGCTTTTTTTTTTTTTTTAAGATTTTATTTTTCCTTTTTCTCCCCAAAGCCCCCTGGTACATAGTTGTGTGTTTTTAGTTGTGGGTCCTTCTAGTTGTGGCATGGGGGATGCCGCCTCAGCATGGCTTGATGAGCGGTGCCACATCTGCGCCCAGGATCTGAACCGGTGAAACCCCGGGCTGCGGAAGTGGAGGGCGCGAACTTAACCACTCGGCCATGGGGTCGGCCCCCACCAGTGCTTTTTGATGAGGAAGATTGGTCCCGAGCTAACATCTGTTGCCAATCTTCCTTTTTTTTTTTTCCTTCCCCAAAGCCCCGGTACATAGTTGTATATTGTAGCTGTAAGTCCTTCCAGTTCTTCTATATGGGACACCGCCTCAGCATGGCCTCATGAGTGGTGCTAGGTCTCTGCCCAGGATCTGAACTGGGGGTCCCTGGGCTGCCGCAGCAGAGTGCACTTAACCACCATGCCACCGGGCCGACCCTTGACCTAACTTCTGTAGCCTGATGCGCAACAGCGTCTTCCAGAACAGCAATATGAGAAGCGCCACGGCCCTTCCTCTTGTGTTGAGAGCGGCATGGTTACATCAAGTATAGCGTGTTGCTTGTTAATCTCCCTCTCAAACGTTTTGTACGTTCACAGATCGGGTGCTACCAAGGTTTTGCGTTTGCTTGGAGATGTCTCCTGCACACTTGTGCCGCTGAGAAGGACAGGTAACGTTTGAGACGTCTTCCTCTTTCAGTGTGTGGGCCAGGAGTTCTGGTTCCCTAGCTTACTGTGACCGTGGCCGGTTAACGTCTCAGCCACCCCGTCTGTAAAATGAGAACATCATCAGGCCAGACTCACACGCCGTTCTGAGATATACAGAAAATAGCTCAAAAGCGTGGGCACGTGTTTGCTGTTTGATGAGCACCGGTTGCTATTCCTTCTTGGGTTCTCGGGTCCCACTGCCTTTTCCCTGGAGGCCTTAGAGCGCCGAGTGGCGCTTAGATGCCCTGGCAGCAAAATAGTGTTGCAATTGGCTATATCTTCTTGTTCATCTTTTCCGTAAGCTTCTGATAAGCATAGTGCAATGGTGTTGGTATGACTGGGGCTCAGGAATGGTGACTCGCTTGTTGCCAGTTTCGTTGTGTGTCCAGCCAGGTCTGTTAATGAGCTAGTGCGTTTAATGTGTTTCATGCCTGTCTGGTGCTTGGCTGTTTGTATTGTTTGTAGCCCTTAGAAACCGTTCTTACCGTGTGCCACCTGCTGAAGCCCCCGTGACCCCGGTGCCCCCGTCTTCGTTCTTAAGCTGGAAATGAACCCTTAAGTACAAGGCGCACGTGGTCTGGCCGTCCTGCTGCTCGGGGGAGCCAGACTCCGCTTCAGCTGGTACTCTGCGTCATTCTGGTGCCTGGTGGCTTTGCCCAGCCTGGGAGGGTGTGAGGAGACAGGGCAGGTGGCGTTCCCCTGTGCCTGGGGCTTATTTGAAGTATTTTGAATGTCTAGAATTCGGGCCACCCCTGTATTCTGAGGTCAGGAGCAGGATGCTTGCCGCTGAGCGCGGGTGCCTGGCGGTTCTCTGTGCCCCGCCTGGTCTGTGGTACTGGCCACGTCTGCGTGTTAGCTGGGAGCTGACCGGACTCGTGCGTTAGCCAGGGGCCCCAGGGCATTGTGCTCTGAGGACTCCGAGGGAGTGGCAGGGTGGGCCGTGATCTGGTTGGAACAGCAGTTGGCAGCCTGTGGTGCCACTGGGTGGCAGTCAAAGCTGAGCTTGCTCTCCACTCCCGTCCACAGAAGGGCGCGGAGAGGCACCTCCTCGGAGCCTCCCTCGTTCCCGACACCGAAGTGCGCTGGCTCCTGGAGGAGTGTCGTACTGTTCGCGGAGGGTCCCACCCCGGGGCTGCCGGCCTCGCCCCAGAGCAGAGTTCCCTGACTTCTTAGAGCCGTGCCCCGCTGTCAGGTGGAGGGGGCGCCGTGGCGGTGGGCCCGGGGCTGGCGGAAGGCCCACAGCGGTGCCCGAGGAGCTCTCAAACAGCCTGAGCGCCTTGGTCTGGGGGTGGTGGTTGCAGCTTTTTGGGCGTTGTAAGTCAATACGGTTTTTAGAAATGGTAGAAGGCTGATAGAGGATCTTATGCTTCGTGTTCCAACTGAGGATGCTAAGGGAGAAACGCCTGCCCTCTGCCCGTCAGTCAGTAAAGCACGGGGCTTTCCCACCCGAGGGGCCGCGAGAGCAGTGTCTCCGGCGAAGGGTGGGCTTCGTTTACATGGGGACGGAGCTTTCTGAGAAGCTCCGAGGCCTCCTGCCCCGTCAGCAGCCTGGTGATACCTCACGCAGACCAGCGTTTGGCCCGGGCTCCGCTCTGGGCTCTGCGTTGTCGTCTGCGTTCCGTGGGCCGTGAGCGGGTCGCACCCTCCTGACATGCACTGGCTTTGATGGGGTGGCGGGCTGGGTGTGTGGCTTCGCTAAGCAGCGGGGAGAAGTCACGACTTGCCGAGGTGACGAGGGCCGGTGTCTTGGTTTCCTGTTAGAAGACGGCCGTCTCCCACAAGCTGGCATCTGCCCGCCGTCCCTGGGAGCTGGGTGCTCTGTTGCGTTCCTGAGCGCGCTTCGACCTTCACCGTTCTGTATTTCCTCAGAGAGGCAGCCATCGCAGCTCCGATGAACCGATTTGCCCTTGGCAGACTTCCTCGTGTGACGGAGGGCAGCAGGGACTGGCAGGGGCTCAGGAGGTCCGCGTGCCTTGTTGCCGTTGAGTCCTTCTCGGGATGCGTTCTTCAGAAGTCCCCGTCATCCACCGTGCTCCCGACCCTCAGACGACCATGTGAGGGCTGGGGGAGGGTGCTCATCTGGCCACTTGTGGTCCATTGTCCAGATGTGCTCATGTAGGACTCGTTTTGCCCCCCGCCCAGGTGAGAGCCCCGGCCCCCAGGATCCGCTGGAAGCCAGGCGACTCACGTTTCTTGAGCGCCTAGTCCCTGAGAGGTTCTGGGCTTCCATGGCTTACTATCCTCTCGAGAGCCTGTGAGGTCCACGTTAACCCCCCTTTTCCAGACGAGGCCGCCAAGGCTCAGGGAGTGAAGTGACCCAGCGCCTCGGAGCGTCGCTCTGCAGGCTGCCTTCCCGCGGAGCCGCCTCGCCTCCCAGCAGGGCTCTGTGTCTTCCCGGGGCGGGGGGGGGGGGGGGGGGGGGGGGGGGGGAGCTGAACTCCACCACCAGACGCTGCTGTCTGCCCTTTGTGGGGGCAGCGGGGGCCTGGCTGGTTTAGCTGCTGCTGAATTCCCAAAGGCTGTGAGCGTGAAGTTTCTCGATCCTGGAAAATCCCTGGATCCACAGCAGGCTCGGTCGTGCCCGGTGCCGTCCTTCTTGTCTGGCTCTGTCTGTTCCCACGGCTGTGACTGTGAGCAGCGCGGTCGGCGAGCTCGTTGCGGGCTGCCTGGGTGGCGCGGTCCACGGCCGGCCTGGAGGCGTGTCTGCAAGCTCCATGCGTGCTGGATGGCGGGCGGGGGGGTGTGGCGACAGCACGGTGCTCGGAGCCTGAATATCATCTGGTGTCACGAGAAAGTGAGTCGTGCGGCTCCTGGCCCCAGGCCTGCCGGCTTGCCCAGCGCCCTTACGTTAGCGATCGGCAGAGCTGCCACACAAGCCACGCCTGTTGTGTCCGAAGCACTCAGAGTCTTTATTTCTCTGTTTTACAGCAAAAAGATGAAGGTCTTAGAGTCGCTGATTGGCCTGATTGAGAAATTCCCCTACGACGACCCCACTTACGATAAGCTGCACGAGGACCTAGACAGGATTCGAGGGAAGTTTAAACAGGTTTGTCCCCCTGTGGCTCCTTGTGACGGGGTGCCTTTCCCACTTAGCTGGCGCGGCCCCGGGGGCTCGCTTTGCGACTCGTCTTGGGGCTGTGGGTGCATGCGAGTGGTCCGTAGGAGCAACCGTTTCTGTGTCTCGATGTAAGAAAACGGAAGGCGCTCTCGAGAAAAGCGCTAGACCCTCTCTGGGGCTGGTGGTGTAGACAGGAGAAGCCGCAGCTAGAGTGAGAGTTACGTTTTAGTTTGTGAGTAAAAATACACGCGATTTTAAAAACCACCTTTTTTTCTTTTGTGTTTTCAGCTTTGTTCATTACTAAACGTTCAGCCGGACTTTAAAATTAGTGTGGAAGGTTCTGGACTTTCATTTTGAGGATGACAGATGAACAAAGACGAAACATCAAGGAACAGATGTCCATACGTTAAGCATTTAAAAATGCAATTAAAGGCAAAACAATGATGGGGTATTCATTGTCCTGTAGGGAGGGTTCAAGTCTGGCCGGTGAAAGGACATCTTTCCCCAAGTTCTGCCTGTGTCCCCTCGGTGCCCTCACGGGGCCCTCCATGCCAGCCGGGCCTTTGTCGGGCCCTGCCCGCTCTGCAGGCTGAAGGCGTCCCTGGCAGAGCCCTCGCGAGGCTGCTCACTCCTGGCGCAGAGTCCGTTGGCCTCAGCGCTCCCCCGCGGGGCGGGCCTGGCCGCTTCCGGACTGGGGTCGGCTCTGGTAGGGTTACCCGCCACGCCTGGACTCAGCGCTCAGAGGAAGTCTTGTGAAAAATGAGAGTGGTGGGATGGACATGGAACAAGTTAACCGAAAGCAGCGACGAGCACGGTGACAGTCAGTGAAGCTTAAGACGTGCCAGCTCTGTGTGACGTGCCTCCCGGGTTTCATTTAACCCCTTCAGTAGCCGGGGAGGGAGGTGCTATTCCTATTTGACAGATGAGGGGACCGAGACCCCCAGGGACTGTCCAGTCCAGGGACAGCGGGTGGCAGAGCTGGGTGCTCCCCCAGCGCCCGTCTCCACCGCCATCTTGTGCGCCCACTCTGGGATCCCTGCCTTCCGGTCCAGGCAGCATAGGTCGCCACTGTGCTCCCTGGAGTCTGGGGAGTCCACTGGCCAGTGACATGGGCATGTGGCTGAGAGGACGGGAGGCCAGCTGGTCCCAAGGAAGCCTGGACATGCTCTTCGCACTGTCTCTGGATGGGCGTGGGGCTTCACGGCATTAGAAACGGTCAAGGGGGAGCGTCTTAGACCAGAGGCTGACGTTAGGCCACCGTCGCGTGGGCACGGTCTCGGGAGCCTCACTGAGGGCTCTGCGTTCTCCGTTTGCGCTGAGTTCTCTGCTCTCCTGCCCCTGCTTGAACGGCCTGCGACGTGCATGTGAGGTCATTGGTGGAGCGGGGGTCTGTCCGTCTGTCCCTGAGCTGCGCGCCGCTCCGCCGCTTCACTCGTGACCGCACGTGTCCACGGCCTCGCGAGCGGGGCCCCGGGTGGCTGGCAGTCGGCGCACGCTGCTCCGTCTGAGGGAGCACATCTGGAAGCGGCGACTGAGATTAACAAAGCGCTAGCCGTGAATCCAGCCTGGTTTTTAAAGTCATTTGAAAATGTCAGCACAAACTGTGCTTTACTGCACCAGCTGGCGGTCCCGAGAGCCACTGAGGAGACCGGAGGCTGGAGTCCCCGCGGGAGCCCCCAGGTGTGCCGAGGGAGAGAGCTGTCTGTGGTTGAGAGACAGACGTGGGCTTCTCCTAGCACACTGTTTCAGGTGTGCGTCCCACCCTGGGTGTCCTCGTCTGCAGCCCCTCATTCTCAGGGGGCCGTGTGCTGGCGCTCTGCCACAGACAGTGCCTGCGCTGCGGTGGCTCCAGGGGACCCGGAGGCCAACAGCGGCTCCCTGGGCCGGGGCACTGAGGGGCTTTCGTTGTTTTCCTTGGGGGTTTTTGTGTTTTCTGAGTTACCTGTTTTGATTATGTATTATTTTTATAATTGGAGAAAAAAATAAATAGCATATTTTCAAGCAAAAGGCTGTCTGGGACCATTTGTACTGTGGCACCCGGCCAACCCCTCCCCTCCTCTGGGCTTTGGGGTCTAGGCGCATGGGCAGGCCTGCATTGGCCAGCGCACAGCTTTCCGTTGCCTTTCTGCCCGAGTTTCATTGACACGTGGAGAACCGGTTCCTGTGGGAGAACGGTTGCCCGTGGTGTTCAGGAAAGGGGCCGTTCCTGCTGACCCGGCCCGGCCACCTGTCGGCACTTACTGCGAATCTTTCCTGCCACAAATTCGCTGGCCCTCTCCCCATCTCCACCTCTCCAGGGCAGGTGGCATGAGCGGCAGGGAACCGCTCTTCCTCTCCCATCACACGGGCCAAGCTGCCTCACTGATCTTCTGCAGGGTGCCTGGACCCTGGACTTGACCTCTGCCCGCCCAGCTCCTTCTTGGAGGCCTTGACCCAGTTTCTGGGACTCCTCCGTCGCCCCCAACAGACCACTTGGCTTATCATAGCCGCACGGCCCACCTCCGCAGTCACCCCAGCCCTCACAAGCCATGCCATCGGCCGCGGTTGGTTCAGGAATGAGCACGGCTCCCCTCTGGCCAACAAGTGGGTAGCGGAAGCCTTCTGGGGGCCGCTGGGAAAGGGCACGTCACTCCTGAGAGAGAGGATCTGTTTGGGAAGTTGTGCCCTGGGGACGTGGCACCTGGAATTGCTACAGGCAGCTTGCAGCTCAGCTCCGATGGAGCCACACCTGGGTGCAGCCGGGCGGAGAGCTGGAGAGGACCGGCCCTGGGACGTCGTGGGCATCTGGGCCGGCTGGCCCCTGAGCCGCTGTGCTTGCGGCCTTCGTGTTGGGTGAGCTGACGAGTGTCCTGGTGCTGCAGGGCCCGTGGGGCTGGGCTTCCACTGTTTGTGGCGAAGGTCCCCTGCCTGCCCTCTCCCCCCGCCCATCTGATCGCATTGTGTCCCCCTTGTTCTCTCAGATAGTAACCCTTAGATGGCCCAGACTGGCCTTGAGTGCCAGAGCTCTTTGGGTGGGCTTTCCTCCCTTCCTGGTGGGCTCAGTCGGCTTACTCCTTGCTTCCTGTCGGAAACTCCCAGCGTATTTCATGCCGCATATGCTGCTGGGGCTGCCACGACCGGTACCAGGAGCCGGGCGCTGTAAACCACAGACGTTGATGGTCTCCCGGTCCTTGGACGGCCGAGATCCGGGGGTTGCAGGGCTGGTTCCTCCTGAGGCCTCTCTCCTTGGCGTGTAGATGCCGTGTCCTTCCTGTGTCCTCACACGGTCGTCCCTCTGCGTGTCTGTGTCCTCGTCTCCTCTTATAAGGGCCCCAGTCACAGTGGATCAGGCCCACCCCACCCTAGTGACCCCATTTTACCTTGATCACCTCTTTGAAGACCCCATCTCCAAGTACGGTCACATTCTGAGGAGCTGGGGGTCAGGACTCCAACGTAGGAATTTGGGGGACACACTTCAGCCCATACCGGCGACCCTGGCTGGCTGCCTGGACAGGCTGTGAACTGGGGACTGGGAGAGAAGACCGCCTTTTCACTTACAAGTCGAAGTCACGTCATTTTATTTGTCTAGAGTGTTGGCAGTGGGAATAAACAGACTCAGTCGTCCACTGAAACTTGCCACTTGGGAACTGCACGCCCCAAGGCGGCCAGCGAGAGATGCCCAGTCCCAGGCCACGTCGCCATCCTGGAGGAAGGCCGCGTTGTGCTTTGACTTATTTCACAGTCACCCATCGTCGTCTCCACCCGGTGGTGAGGAAAGAATGCAGAGATGTGAAGGAAGGGACAGGAAGTCTCACTGAGTGGCTGCCGGTGGCCGCCTCTACCTTCCTCGTGTCCCCAAGCTGTCCCCTAAGCCTCTGAAAGGGGCTGCCACCCCACTTCTCAGATGGAGGCCTGGGCGCCCAGTCGAGTCGAGTGACACGCCAATGGTTGTGATAAGTGCTGCCCTCGGGCCTGATGGGCGCCGCGGGCCTCCAGGGCTTTGCCTGTTACTGTCAGCCGGGTCGGAGCCCAGCTCTTCCGATCTCCGGGGGACCTGCTTCCGTGACCAGTCTTGCTTCCAGTGGCCTGAGGCAAAGACAGATGGATTTATGGAAAAGGGCCCTCGCTGGGTGCTGGCGGGGAGGCAGCGGACAAGTGGGCCCCAGTCCCCCAGCCCGCATTAGCACGGCTCACTGAGGGATGTCCGTGGCACTTGGGGAGGCAGCGATGGGGTGGGGGTGTCCAGCTCTGCCTGGGGAATAAAGGAATGAGAAGGTGGGCAGGGATGCCTTCCCGGAGGAGGTGACCTTCGCACTACTGGCTTTGTGAGCTTTCATTTGACCTCACCATGGAGAATTTCTCTTCACCCTACCTGAGAACACAGTGTAATTAACAGGCAAGGCCACCCGAATTTGCACAGTTGTTCCAGTCCTTAACGAACGACGCGAGGAACGGGTCTGCAACTCAGGACACTGAGGTCACCAAGCTAGGGTGATCGATCAGAGGAAAGTGGGTGCTGCGTTCAGTTCTCACAGGACACGAGTCCTACAGTTGAGGGACCGGGCCCTGAAAGGCTCGGTGGCGAGTCCACGACGTGACTCAGTGGCTGAGCCGGGGCTCTGCGGATGAATTCTCCGAGAAGGTGGGTCCCTCGTTGCTCGCGAACTTGGCCATCTCTCTCTCTTGTGGCTGGAGTGCTCCTCTCGCCGGGCACCGACACCCTGCTGCTCTGTCCCCAGCCGTGGCCACGTCTCCCTGGCGCCCTTTACCACATCAGCTGGGTCTTGGGGCGCCGGGCCTGAGGTTCTGTCTCCAGTGATACCGGGATGTGACCCTGTTTCCGTCCGCTCAGGAGTGGGGTGCACAGGGGAACCCGAGCGCCCGGTACCCGGCCCCTGGCCTGTCCACCAGGGGACGGCTGTGTCCGTCCTTTCTGCAAGGACTTGTTGGACATCTGCTGTCCCAGCGGGTGTGTGCCCCGAAAACAGTGGGGTGCTCGTCAACCTGCTCCGTAGCTTTGAGAGCTCAGACACGTCTGTTGTGGGTTGAATTGTGTCCCCCCAAAACGTAAGCTGAAGCCCGAGCCCCTGGTCCCTGTGACCGTGACCTTATTTGGAAGTAGGGTCCTCGCAGATGTCGCTCAGGTGTCAGTTCAGGTGGGCTGTACCAGGGTGGGCTAGGCCTTCCATCCACCATGACTGTGTCCTCATAAGAAGAGAAGGCAGCCCAGAGAGGGGAGGGCGCCGTGAAGACAGGCTCACAGAGTGAAGCTGGCCTTGCGAGGGCCGAGGCTGAGACGGGAGTGACGCAGCTACAAGCCGGGGGACGCGGGGAGCGCCAGCACCCAGTGGAGCTCGGAGAGGGCGGGCCCTGCCACCACCTTGCTGTCCATCTTCTAGCCTCCGGAGCTGGGAGAAGTGCCTGTTGTTTTCAGCCACCCTGGCTGTGGGCACTTGTTACGGCGGCCCCAGGACCCTCATACGAGGGCCTTTGCTTTGTCTGGGCTGTCGTTTGCCTGTCTGCAGAGGGTGGGCCCTGGACA